GCATGAGGAGCTAACTTATCTTTTCCTAGAGTAAGGTCATGAACAAAGCACGTACTCCCAAAGACACGGGGTGGAAGAGAGTAATAAAGGTAAGTGGGGAAACAGGACAGAGAATGGAACTTGATTTTGGATAGCCGAAGATGGCATACGATTAATAAGATAACAAGATATAAGAACTGCATCTCCCCAAAAACGCAGCGGAACATGAGATTGTATGAGTAGGGTACGAGCAGTTTCAATAAGATGTCAATTCTTTCTTTCAGCTACCCCATTTTGTTGGGATGTGTACGGACAAGATATTTGATGAATAATCCCATGGGAGTTCATAAACTGCTGAAATGGGGAAGACAAATACTCTAGGGCATTATCACTGCGAAATGTGCGGATAAACCCCAAATTGATTTTGAATTTCAGCGTGGAAGGTCTGGAAAATAGAAAATAACTCAGACCGATTTTTCATCAAAAATATCCAAGTGCACCTGGAATAATCATCAATGAAACTGACAAAGTAGCGGAATCCCAAGGTAGAACTGACCCGACTAGGACCCCAAACATCTGAATGGACTAAAGTAAAAGGTGACTCTGCTCAATTATCAAGACGCCACGGGAAATAGGAGCGGCTATGCTTACCGAGCTGACATGACTCACACTCTAGAGTGGACAAGTGAGATAAGCCAGGTACCATTTTCTGAAGTTTTGACAAACTAGGATGTCCTAACCGTTTATGTAATAAATCTGGTGAATCAGTAACGGGACAAGTTTTTGGAGGAAGACAAGATGCGAGTCCATGTGATTTTGCAAGGATAAGGTAATAAAGTCCATCTGATTCACGTCCGGTACCAATGATCCGCCCTGTACTGCATTTCTGTATAAAAACAAGGTCATCAAGAAATAAAATAGCAGATTTAAGTGATTTGGCTAAGAGACTAACAGCTATGAGATTAAAAGGACTACCAGGAACATAAAGAACAGAGTCTAAAGGTAAGGAAGGAAGTGGACTTGCTTGACCTATTGCAGTTGCCATGGCTTGAGACCCATTGGCCATTGTGACTGTTGGAAGAGATTGAGAATATGAAATACTAGTGAAAAGAGATTTGTTACCAGAAATATGATCAGATGTACCTGAATCAATGACCCAAGACTCAGAAGGTGAAGATTGGGAGACACAAGTCATGCTACTATTTGTTGGAACAACGGAGGCTAATCCTAAAGATGTTTGTTTACGTGTTTTGTGCTGAAGGAACTCAATATAATTCGGTAAAGAAACCATCTGGATTGGATTCAATACATTGGATCCAACGGATTGTGAGTTAAAGGCTTCCGATACGAATGCCATTATAATATCATGCCGGAAAAAGCAGAAATTTTCTAGGGATCACTGTTCACGCCGGAAAAATCACTATAGCTCGCCGAAAAATTCCAAAGTTGTCGGAATCTGTCGGAAATAGTACTAATGGACTCGGAATTGCAAGGAGATGAAACTGTCCTGAAGAATTTTTTTCAAAATCTGACCGGAAGAGGTCACACGCGCCGGCGCGTGTGACAGACGCGCCGGCGCGTGTGACAGACGCGCCGCCGGAAGCAGATCTCCAACAGGCGCGTGACGGCGCGTGGGTGAGTATTTTCCGGTGAATTTTTCTGGGGTTTGGTCGGATCTCTCTTGGGAACCTTGTGGTGGTGTTGGATTTTGCACAACATTGATAATTAGTGACTTTGACGCAACCAGTCACTTAAGTTACCGGAAAATTGCACGGTGACTGAGTTCTTTCTTCCTGGATGTCGCTGGAATGACGCACAACGATCTCTTCTCACCGATGCTCTGATACCATGTGAGAATGCACGGGAGAAAAATATATTTATTGATTAATTATGACAATGATACAATGAGCCCTATATATATAATACATGTCCTACTCCTAATATATGAAAGGAAACATATTCATTACATTGTAGGTTGCTCCTCCTATAATACTTTGTGTCTTGCTAATAAAGATACTTGAAATAACTTAGTTTAAGTAGAAGTAGCATAATAGGTTTTAGGAATTAGTATTTTGAGTTTAATTACTTGTTGGCTTGTAATAGTTTTCCATAATTCCAAGGCCCAAAGAAAAATCTAACGCATTATTAGTTTTAAACTTACTAGATAAATATATTTTCCACATGTAAAATTTATTCAGTACGGTTCGGTATTGTTTCCGGTTTATTTTTATAAAATAAAAAACCTACCCTAATTATCGGTGCGATTATAGATTTATATAAAAACCTACGGTTTCTTAAAAACAAACCTAAAAATGGGTTCGGTGCGGTACGCTTTGGCCGATTTTTGAATATCCATTTACACCCCTAGGAGGGTTGGTTGGCCTTGCTTTAGAATCTTACGCGCCCACTTTTTCTTTACTAGATTTAGAGTACGCGCGTTGCGCGTGTACTTCATGCCAGTGAGTATAAGTTTTTAAAAAAAATACACAAATACTATTAACATATGTAATTGAGTTATAAATAAAATTGAAAAAATCACAAGCTCTTGAAAATGATAAATATTGATAATATATGGCTAACTTAATAAAGAAAAAATTACGTACATCACATAAAATTATTCTAATGTCTTATCATGATTTTGGTATAGAAATTGTGCATTTGCTTTAGTTGCTCGACATCAGAATAATATGCTAACTTGTACTCAAATATATCTTGTAACAATATTATACTCTTTATGGCCTTAAAAAGTAATTTTTTTGCTCAAGTACATTATATGAATTTCATCTTATTCCTTACTGAAAATACAAAAAATAAAAAAAGACTCCATATTATTAGGTTTAACTATCATACGAACAATTTAATCGGATGGGTGTTGTTTAAACCCAACTACACGTGTTTTTAGAAAAAATAAAATAAAATGATTACCATAAAAAATTAAGGTAAAAAAATTAATATTTATTATTATCTTAATAAACATGAAGGTATCGTTATGTAATATAATTCTCAAAATGTATAAAATCTATTAAACATTTCTTGTACTGTGCATTCAGATAAATCATTATAAAAGTGTTTGCAATATCTATTTTTATACGCATATACATTTTATTGTTTTAACAATATTTAGTGGTGGTATTTGAATTCAACTGACTGGATATTATCTCTCTTAATTTACAAATAATTTGCTGAAACATGATCATTTTAATTATTTGGATGGCTTTATCATGAGAATCTGACTATTAATATTGATATTTGTCATGAGTTCATAGTTATATTAGTAACTAAAGATAATCATGAGCCTAAAAACACACGAAGTATAAAAAGACAACAAAAATCCTAAACCAGGAAATTCTTTTTTAGAATTTTAAGCTTTCAAAACTAAATTCAAAATAAAATACATAACTAATGGCGTTTGAATCTTTTGATTTAAAATTATAAACATACTCTTTGTCCCTCAAGTGAGTTCCACACCCATCAAAGAATATATAATTCATATTATCTTAATATGAAAAGTATGTTAGTTTAAATGAGGAAATAATTTAAATAAGGCAAACTTTTATTATTTTTAAAGTCCAAAATATTAAGAGTTTTTATATATTTTTAATAAGGAAAGATTTCTAGTAAAATTAAATGACTATTTTTAGATATTAGTGGAATAATTAAATGACTATTCCTAAATATTAGGAAATTAATTAGAATGACTATTTTGCCCAATGTGAACTCTATTTTTAAAGGGCAGAAAAGACGAACGACATTTCGCTAAGGGCCTTCGTGCTTTTAATATAGTATAGATTTTAGATCTAAGTATACTGAAGCCCGGAAGACTTTTAGAAGGAGCACTCTCACTTATTCAGGACCAAATAGGTCTAAACTTTTCAACGGTTCTAGTCTTATGGATTAGGGGCTGAGACAAACCCAAAAATAACAGGCTCTAGATGGTTGTAATGTTTTTTACCGATATTAGTTAATATTTATAGCCAAATATGAAATAAATAAAATCTCGAATTCTATCCCGAGATTATAATCCTAATTCCTATAACCAAAACGACCCTTAAACATTAAATTTCAGAAGGCATTATATATTTAAAAGCTCAACTACTACCGATTGTTGAGTAACGGGAAATAGTTAAGTTTCCCCTTTAATTAATTCCTATAGGCAGGGCGCTATTGTACCTTAGTGTTTGCCAGTAAAACGGTACAATTAAATTTGTTACTTGATTTATAGACAAGCGAATTGTTTTGATTCAAAAATAATAAAGAAATAAGATTAAAAATGAGACTTAGCAATTGAAATTGAAGAAGATGACAAGCCTGGCCCCGAGCGCTATGTCTCCGAGAACAAAAATGAAAGAAATGGTAAAGAGCCAACACAATTGTTTAATTGAGAGCGAAAGTAAAATATAGCATATATTTTGCCCAGAATTTTCGTGTCTTACAATGGCGATATAGCCTATTATTTATAGCTATACATAGGGAAACAAGATCTTAGGATCAAGCCCCACCTAAATGATAATAAAAGAGTCATTGATGAATATGTAACGGCAAGCTATGAATGCAAATATTCTTTGCAACGGTTGCCCAATTAATGTTAGAGAATATTCTTTCATTGAATGCTATCCGATGGCAAATACTCGATCTGCTCCCGTTGACTATGCTCCCTTTGGGATTTACCCGATGTCAATTGTAGTTGTTGTTTTCGGTACTGGTTGTTACTTGACTCGCCTTTTACCTCTCTTCGGTTCCACGTGTCATGCTATTCATTCGGTCATTTATTATAATCAATTTTATCCCATACACTTAGATTATTGGCAAAAGGGATGTATCTACCATATATTCCAAACAACAAGGGAGCGGAAGTGCTGTTTTCCAAACCTAAAGGGATCTAAAAGTAATAATACTAACAACGAAGGAGCTTTGTTGCGGAAGCGATCTGGCCGACCGGAACTTGGAAGTTTAAAAAATTTGAAGTTGGTACATATATAGTAGACGTTGTGTAGAGAGAGAGAGAGGAAAATCCAAATCCAATGCGATGATGGGAAGCGAGTCAAATCCTACATGGGTTGGAAGGAAACCAATGAGAAGACTTGGTGGAATGTCTGATGCTCTTTCTATTGCTTCTGAACTCGGTTTCTCTCTTCCGACTCCTCCCAATTCCCAGGTCCACACTTTTTTCTTTTTAGTTGAGTCTTGTACTGCTGAATTTTTGTAGCAATATTCATATTTGAGATTTATTGATTGAAATTCAAAAACATTCCCGTTGTTTAGGAGGAGATCCAAAACTTATCCTCCACCACTGGTGAAAATGGTGATGATTTGATAAGGGTCTTGAAAGAACTCACTGCTGTTCAAAGGAAAATTGCTGATTTACAAGTCGAACTTCAAGGTCGAAAGGTGACATTGTTCAGATTCTTAAGAATTTCATCCTTTTTAAATTATCCAACACGATGTTCTACTAGTGAATGTGGTGTGAATTTATAGCACTTCGACTTTTCACTTGACCCTAATATTGCATATGTCCTATCCATTTCAGCAGGGCATGGTTACTTAACAGTTCAAAATAATTTGAAAATTTTACAACTTACACACCTAACTATTCGATATTGTCATCTATTTAGCTTTGGTAATTGAAAAATGTAGTCTTTTAGACGATATCATGAACTAACATAGTAATGTGTTACAACTTTAGGAGGACAAAAATGTTGCTCATCTGACACATGTCAGTGAAATGGAAAAGAAGATTGAAACATTGCAAAGGATTACTACTATTTTGAAGGACGTTATTCAGAATAAGGTAATTGACTTAATCTGAGTTTTAACTTCTATTTTCTGCCTAGTTACATTTGGTGATATTCAAATATTTCATCATGATCTTCTCTATCCACCTTTTTGAAACTAAACAAAATTCCCTACTGTCATGGGGAGGCATCAATCCTATTTGTGTCAAATGATTGATGTTCTTCCATTCGTCAATGCTTTTGTGTTTTCCAGAGGAGGGGGCATCACATGCAGCATGTGCACTTTCTGGACATAATTATTTAGGACCACCAGAATAAACACATTAAGACACATAGAAGAAAAACTAAATGAATTTCGAGATATGAATATGATTATTCAAGTGGTTGCTGATTTGTGTAGGTTTTGTTCACTGAATGAATTAAAGATGTATTAATGCAAGGATAATATGGAATAAAGAACTTTGTTTCTGCAGTATCTAGTATAGATGGTGAAAAGGAAGAATGATGTTGGTCTCTATATGCGTGTGTGATGCATTTTCTCTTTTCTTCGAGTACAGCTGCATCGTCTTTTTGTTTGTGGACAGCTGTATTCATGAAAGTATTGTGGATGTGCTTCTTTGTGCACTCTTGTATTCTTGCATGCAGGAGTCAGTGGTAGTGAGAGGAAAAGAAAGAGGGAGCGGAGTCGTGCAATGTGTAGGAGTTATTGATCAGTCAGTAGCTGAATGCTGCTTGTAATGTGAAAACCTTCAATATTTAATATGGCGAACATTTTATTGAAACGTTACTTATCAAAAATAAAAGAGGAACATTTTATTGAAATGCAGTGGAAGAAAGTAAGGCCTGCCCTGAGATGAGACCAGAAAATTTTATCAAGAATTCTTGCATTAGCTTGCAGTTGCTCTAGCAAAGAACTTTGGCAACTTTATCTGGTCTTAGTGAAGCAAATTTCATCCAATAGCAGAATTACATAATTTATTTATTTTGTCATTGTGATTTCTTTCCTTATTTGTTTCATTTTGTTGTTATGTTTGCATAAAAATCTTCTGCGGGTTTTGTAGGACCGCATAATAGCTCGCCTTCAACAACCATATTCGTTGGATTGCATTCCTGTTGAAGCTGAATATCAGGTTTGTTACTTGCCAACTGTAATCAGCTTATCTTCCTGGAATACCTAGACCTCTAGAGATAGATGCTTGACCTAATATATAATGATTACTGAAGAGCTTATCATTATCGCAAATACCTTTTTTGTTGAAGATTGGGAAAAATCAACATCATTTTGTGGAAGAACTTTTATAGATTACAATTTTATTAGATTCATTGTATTTGAATAGCATAATATTGTTGAACAGAATTCAACGTTTAAACTATGTCCCAAGGCTTCAAAACAAGCTCCAATCGTCTTTGGGATGGAGTGGAAGTTGTGTTCTTTCAAGGACAAACAAGCAAATATGGACTTGAACCAACAAAAGTCACAACGTAAACAAAGAAACAAAGCTTTAAGGCAATTAGCGCGGAAATAATGACGCAAAGCTCAAAAACTAGCTAAACACAAGTAGGGACAATTTACTTGGTGTTAATTAGGTAGGAAAATTAAAAAAATTGAAACGGAGTGGAAAATCCCAAATTCGAACCCAAAAACATTGTCAAAACCTGTAGTTTCTGGTGCAAGAAAAATGATGGTGAGATTGCTATCGTGGTCCTGGAGTCGCAATCGCGGCCCTTGCAGCCTGAAAAACTTTGCAAATTTGTACCCAAGAACACTGTCAAAACATGTGGTTTCTAGTGCAAGAAAACTGATGGTGCGACCGCTATCACGGTCATGGAGTCTCAATCGCAGCCCTTGCGCCCTGAAAAACGTTCGCGATCGCGATGCACAAGTGGATTTTTGCCTTTCGTGGAAGCGGCTTGAAGCTGGTGATCTCGGACCTTCAACTAGGTTCAGGTGCTCTTCAAGCCTTAACAAACTAGCTTCAGCTTTCTCCCAAATATGATTCAAATCCCAACCAAATCGATTCCAAACACTCTCCACTTCAGATACAATTCTAACAAGTATATAGAACAACATTCAATCACACCCAATCGTTTTCAAACACTATTTTTCAGATTTTGATTTTCAAATTCAAGCTCAAAGTTCAACAATGTTCTTCAATTGAATACCCAATTCTCGGATCTCATTTGATTGATTTGCAACAACAATTAATTCACATATTTTCTCCAAAAAAATCTCAACAGTAATTAACAACCAAAACTCGAATTCATCCACAGAAATTCAAACTCAACCAAGCTCAAGAACTTTTTATTTGGGGTAATTTTCGGATTTTTTTTCTCTGATTTGATAATCAAAAACAATCAACAAGAAATTTTTTAACCTATATCTGATACCAAGATTATCACAATCACAAACAAGAAAAAGGTAACAAGGAATTGAAATGATAGAAGTTAGATACAAAATTGAAAGGGAACTAGTAATAATTAGATTAATCAACACGTAATCACCGCAAGATACAATCTATTAGTGCCTAAACTATTAGATTAATCAACACGTAATCACCCCAAGATACAATCTATTAGCGCCTAAACTATTAGGATACTCAATAGATTGGAGCTCTTTTCAATCCGAGAGCAAAGTGTCAAAGCAATTAAGAGATTCACTAACAAAGTACTCACTAAAGTAACCACTAATTACTCACTACATATTCACCAGAGAAGCCAGAATACCCATTAATATGTTCATCAAAAGCTAAAGAACGAAACTAGGTATTGGGCTAATTATACCAAGCCTATTTTATTACATAGCTTGCCCAAAGTAACCCTTCAAAAGGTTAAAAACGTCATTAGCTAAATGCTGAAAATGTACCTCCAGGTGGTAATCGCGATTGCCCTTCAAGGTCCTCGATCGTGATATTCAGTCGACTCAGGCTCTTCTACGATCACTCTGTGACTGCTAGTTCCAATCCTTCTTCCTTAATTGCTCCATGAGCTCCGCGACAGCAATATCAGCCTCCCAGCTCTCCTCCGTGATTGCGTAATGCCTCCGCTACAGTTCCTGCAACCTTCAAGTGCTGTCCAAGGGCTTCTTCTTCAGCTCCAAGCACCAAGTTAGGTCCTTTCTTCCATTGTTGCTATGTGTAACATGTTGCGGACCTCATTTCCAAAGGGTTTGTTGAAGCTTCCATCTTCAAGGTCATCATTCCAAACGCTTGTAGCTCCGTAGCTTGGCTATGAGTGAATGGTCGTGAGGGTGTAGCTATGGGCAATTGGTCACAGAGTGACCACTTAAGCCAATTGCCCAATCAAAGCACTTCCTTTTTTTTCAAAAGTGCATTATTCTTGTCCCTTTGTGGTGCTCATTCTAGCGGCATTGCTCTTAGTTCTGATGACCGTTCCATCTGACCATGCATGTCCCTGGTGTCTGTTCCCCCTTACCGTGCCTCTGGCGCACTAAAAAAAAAGTAGAACAACAACAATAACTGATGACACACACACACACACACGGATATCTGCGGAGCTCTTCAGAAGAGCTACTGCTTAGTCCTTGTCTTGTGGCCCTTTGAAACTTGAAACACCCAGTGCGAAAACTAAGATAAGAAAAAAGATGTTTTGCTAATACGAGGATAGTGGAATACAAGACTCACCTATTTATAGTTGTAGAATGCAATCTACATCTTATATTTAGTCGATGAGCGACTAACACTTCACTTTTAACACACCCTACTTTACAATATTTACCTTGTGAAACACTGGCTCACAGTAGTTACACTTTGACAGGCATGTCTCTAAGTATCCTTGAGAGCAAGAACTCAGATACTTCTATATCAGTCTTTAGCTTTTTCAACTGTTCATTTAATCATTCAGCCATTTAACAAGCCAATAGATATAGGTGCCTAAAACTATTGAATTGTGCAGAAACAATTTTCAGAATTGCTGATGAGGGCTGCTAGTGATTATGGTGCTTTAACGGCCTCTGTAACAGATTTTCAATGGAGTCAGAATTTTAAAGAACCGCCAACAGTTTGGGGGGTATGCTCTTCCTTTCTCCTGCCAATTAACTCGTTCTTCGTATGTTGTAAATATAAAACTAATTTGTTATGATTGTTTTGAGTGTTGAAGCATCATTCATAATGCTGTACTAAAGTAATATGTTTTGTGTGGAAGCTATTGTTTTTTGCATGTGGGGATTCCTGAATTATTAAGGGTAAATGGAACCATCACATTAGCATATATCTCTCCTGGTGACAGTTGTCAGGTGCTTGATGGTGCTAATTTTTTTTCCTATTTGTTTGATGCAAGAAAATGTTAATTTTCGTTTTGTGGACGGGCTTGTCACTGTAGTTGCATACTCCTTGATGGAAAGAAAATTTTGAATACCAATAAGATGGAAAAAATAAAATGAAGTGTGGTGTAGTTATCGGGTGCTATAACTGACAAATATGCACAGAGATGGATGACGCAACTAGATGTTAGAGCGTTTGAATCTGTACAGAAGTAGCACGTGTTTGTATGTGCGCTAAGGTAAGACTGATGCAAGAAAGTTTAACCACAAAAGGATTAAAGAACTAGGAATCCATGAAATCATTAGTGCAGTGTTGCATTCTTGTTTTATTGTGTAACTGGTGAGTTGAACCCTCAAAGTGCACACGGGATACAAAATTATTCCTTTTCGAGACCCTGAATTAGCTTTACTCTGTGGAATGCTGGGATCTGTTGCATGAAGCATGCAGGAGAACTTCGTGAACCCTCAAGTTTGATGTTTTAATTAATGTAGGAAATGCTTCGTCCAATTCCTGTTGCTTTAGCTTCTAGCACTCGATTCTTTGAAGCCATGTCTGCGATGAGAGAGTCAATTGCAACACTGCATGCTTTGAGAGTTGGTCATTCTTCTTCCTTGTCTACAAAACCAAGCAACGAGCCTTCACAAAGAACACTTGGAGATACTGATTGTGTGACTCCTCCCCCATGGAGATCAGAGTCAAGCTTTGATGATTTAGCCGTTGGAAGCCTGAGAAGGCAAGAAAGTGAGCCACAAGAAGGTAGTGAAATCGCAAAAGGTGATGGTATGGGCCACAGGAGATTGTCATGGCCTCCTTCAGTTAAGAACATCTCGTAATGGTATCACTACTTGGGCTGCTGTGTATTTGTTATCCCCCGTTCCCATGGATTTATCATTTTGATCATCCTTGTATTAGTTTAGGTGATTGTATTTTCGGTGTCTCATGGGTGTTTTTTTCTTCTTATTCTTTTTCACCAGTTCCATGAATGCGGGGCGTGATATTTGTTTGGTTTTACTCTTGTAATTTTACTCTTGAACTGAAGCCATTTCAAACAGTGTTCAAAATGAAAAGATGTTTTTTCATAGAAATATTCATTCTCCAGTTAAACATCTTCGTTCAAATAACACGCAAATCTAGTCTATGTAAATAAGTATTATCTTTGGTTCCCCTCCAGATGAAATAATTAGGTACAAAAATAAATTTTCTTCTGTCCCACCTAACTACAATAAATGGTAATGTGCTATCAGTACCCTTATAAATTACCTTTTAAGTTAAATCCAGATTGTAGTTCAAATAGATAAGGTAGGCAAGAGAATGTGAGAATAGGCAGACGCTTAGCTGACATTAACTTACCAAAGCATCTAATTGATGAGGTGGGCAAGAAAAAGAGTGAGAATAGGCAGACTCTTAACTTGATAATCACTCTATTTTATGAATGTACAATGTTTTCGAGCATGAGCTATGATTTCTACCACGAAAGGTAGTAACAAATGTAGTCGAGTCAGTCAACTCTTCGTTCTCTCTCTCTCTCTTGCTCTTTCTGCGCGCGGTAGAGATGACAAAAGCAGGCACTTCATTGACAACCTTTCATCAGCCAATTGCATGAGTTGAGGGGGGAAGGATAGAGTTGGCAAGTTCTTCATCTAACTTAACTGGAAGTGGTGGCATCTGCTTCAGTATGTATGACGACTCATTCAACCTGCAAATTTGGTTACATCTTAGGTTAACAATATAGTTCAACAGCCACAAGTAAAAGAATAATGAACAAAGCTACATATTAGTATCCAAGTAATGCAAAGCTCTCAAGTGACCCAGAAAATAAGGATTTCTGGTTCACTCGATGATCATGTTCGAATTTCTAGTAGTGCTTGCCTTTTAGCAGTTACTAACCTAGTGGATGGACTTTACAAACTGCAGAACAAAAAAAATATAGAAGATATAAAGGAACAGGCATACTCAAGAGACTTCAGACGTACTTTTGTAAAATCATGAAGATGTTATCTCGAGCCTGACACAAAAGTCGAGTATTCTCGTGTATCTGCATGAACGAAGTGGAGCATATAAGTGTAGAGTTATTGTCGTTTACAGAGGGGGCCTATTAGGGAGAGGCCCCAATATATCAGATATCAGGTGTTTTACAAGAAAAAAGTTGAAATTATATCAGTTAAGCTGCATGCTTACTTGATGTGTTACAAGATTCGCGGAAATCTGTTCAAAGATCCGAGCATTCTGATGAATAAGCTGCGTGGTGACACTGACTGTGGCTGCAATGAACAAAATTCTAGATGAGAACAACATTATAAGATGCTTTAACTTGAGATATCAGGTGTTTGTCCCCAAAACTTGTAGACCTCAACATCTTACATATGCTATACGATTCAGCCAAGTTCACGCTTCAAACAATGAGTTGCCCAGTGAGAAGCTGTTGTTTGAATCTCAACTCTAGGAGTTGAATTAATATCGACGTTATTATATATTGGACGCTAGAGTTAGTTATTCTAATCGTGAGTTGATATATTGGTATTCTTTACATTTCCAATAGGTTGTGCGTGCTTGCTTGTTCTCATTTTTCGCTTAAAATCACATGGACCATGCCTCTATTTTGCGCTTTTCGCTTTTGAAAACAATCAGAATAGTGTCCAGATTGCCGACATAGAACTATCTGCATCTCAAATTCTTAATCAATCAATCAGAAAACTATACCTCCATCCCATGCTAGTTGGGGACCTCAAATTCTTTATACTACATAGATTTAAGTTCATCAGAGTTTTCATCACTTCTCATATGGAGGATTTATTTATTTTTCAATATTGAGTTAACATTGAGAAAGAACTTAAAAATGTAAGAATGTAGTTTCATGTGTTTTTTATGATGAACACCAACAAGACATAATTCAGATATCTAAATTTCATGCTCAAGAAAAAGAGCAATTTTAATCTACTAACTATTCTCGAGAAGAAGTGAAACTGACCATGATACGAGGTGAAACCGTCACTCTTATTTGAAACCACTCCTTGAGCATATGGAACATAACCAGGCTGGATTACCACAGGGGACGACGCTGCAGTAGGATCAGTCAATTTTTCCTGAGAAAAGAATGTAACACATTTCCTTGAGCCTCTGGAGGCATACATCAAAGTAAGCCAAATAGAAATGACCTAAAACACCAGTGATGAATTCCGATAGCCTCATTACAGACAACTTTCTAAAAGCATGTGAAAGACCAAGATAAAACACACTCTTCATAATTTCTATAAATTTTTGTTAAGCGACAATCGATGTTCTAGTATTGTAGAGAAAGTAGACAAGATTGGTCTGTGAATAACCATTCTTTAGAGGATCACAAGAACCAGCTAATGCTGAAAGTCATACAAACATTGGTCTATGAATAGCCACATCCGAGGAGAATGTTGCCTGGTATTGTATTCTGTTCATGAGGTGAGAATCGTCCAAAACCATATAATGAGACAGCATCTCATTCCTAACCAATAGGGACATACCCCTCGGTCCCCTCTCCAGTCGTACGCCTAGCATTAGATATTTGGAACATGAATAATATAATATGAGGATCCAACATTGGGTAAACCAAGAATAGGGATGGCTGTGGCTCTAATACAATGTTAAGAAAATGGATCTAGATCCTAACTCAACCCAAAAACAAGATAATGAGGTGAAAATTGTTCAAGATCTTATAAGGAGACAACAGTCTTATTCCCTCAACCAACATGCGGCATTCTAACATATTGTTCATTACAGGTTTTAGAAAAACACGGAAAACAAAGTAGAAGATGGTGAAAGAGAGGAAGATAATCACACCACTTATGTTCTGTTGCTTAGGGAGTTCTCTCGACTACTCTCCTCAAACCAAGAGCGTGAGGATTAAGATAATTGTTCAGAAAGACACTTCTTGAGGGCTTACATGTTACAAATCATACTAGTGATGACGTGTTTTACAGTCAATAAAATGTGTCCAACACATGTTGCACACTGTTAGATTTACTACAGGTCAAGAAGCTACAACTGGAAGCTGTAGAAGAAACAACAGATCACTGGAGATAAACTTCTTGGAGGAACTTCTATAACTGGGAGATACATAAAGTACTGTAGCTCTTCAGGAATATCTCAAAAGCCGGATAAGTCTGAAAAGCAGAAAAGAATGTAAGTTTCTTTGTTGGATCATGCTATAATTTTCTGGTAATAACGGGAAGATATGGTCAGTGGCCTCGGAGAAGCCTGTGGAAGAACATTGTACCTTTAAAAGTGATGTGTTCATGCCTTAATCAATAGAAACTTCAAAAGAATGGAATTACAACCTTCAGAAGATATTATAAGCGTGAGAAAGCAGAGGAGCACCCGGATCTTTTGTTAAGGCTACCTATAAAGGGCTCCTCAAAATCAAAGAAAAATATCATAAGTTTCGGACATTCAGCTGTTAATGAGACTCCTTTTACTGACAGTTACGCTGTTGTAGCAGGTTACTTACATTATTTCCCTAGTTGCTAATCCCACTTATTATAGACAGTTATCTGTTTGTTGTTTTTTAGGTGACCTTATATTGGTACTTTTTATACTATTAGTATATAGAAGTTAAATTCTTTATGAATTAGGAGCATGTTTACAAACTTATTTGCAGTGGATGTGGGCAATGCCAACCAACCTAAAGGAAGACATAGGCAGCTGTAGAATCCAGAAGATAGAAAAGCGACTTAAAGTTCCATCTAATTCGTGCCACCGTGCATTACACAGACAGTTTGGAAGGAAATGAACTCAAGATGTTTAGAATGGAATGGAGTACCACTTCATTGTTTAATACTTACTCTAATGGTGCTGTTTGTGTACATAAAAATGAGCTCAAAGAGATAGGGAAATCAATATCAACAACAAGAGATAAAAAGAAGTGGTTACCTTTCTATCTTTATTTTTCTTCAATAGATTTGCGTCATCTTTCCTTCTCTTGCTGTTTTCCTTTTTCTACAGGGATAATAACACAGTCAGTACAACAACACTATAAAATGAGGAAAACTTGCTCCAAAGAAATTGAAAATTATACCTAGACAATATAATAGCTACTATGTTAACTCAATTTCTTCTTAACCGTATAACTACAACTATAAGGATTCTAAATAATGCAAAAAAAAAAAAAAAAAAAGAGTTTTAGAAAAGAAGTAATAGCAAATGAAAATTCTTAAGTGGCCAGACACCAGAAGAAAGAGAAAGAACATGGTAAAGGATGAGAAGTAAAGAGAACCAATATGAACATCAAAGACAAATGCATGGTAACAACAAAACTTGAGGAACAGATCTAATGCCTGCTATTATACAGAAAACAATGCATGTTACTGTGTTGTGGTTAAGAATTTCAATGCTTTTAGTACTAGCTATGGCTTATCGATCTGGGACTTAGGTGTAGTTGATTGTTAGATGCATGCTTGTCTATATTTTGTTTTCAAAGTAATAAATTCCAGCTTTTTACCTTTTCTGGTTATATTTTTGTTTAAGTATCAAGTTCAGATAGAGTTTTCAGCTACAAAATGCAGCAGCTAGGAGCACTTACCTTGGTCCATTTGCATCGTAATGCCACATCACGAACAGTCTTGTTCTTCAGCGAAATTGCAATTTTTGCATAACGGGATATGCTTGTCTCGGAGGCATATCTGCAGGTATTTTTAAGAGTTATTTCCCAGATGCAATAATTGTCCTAGATTTGGAGCTTCAGTAAATACAAATGAATTCTAGACCCTTCAGAAAAGTAGCTTAAAGAGATAAACCTCTACAAGAAATAAGAGATCAACACGTTTGACAAGATAAACGAAGGAAGTAAAGAAACATCAGCCTAAAATTTATCCGTTATCCTTTTGTTTAAAATAAAATAAATAATTCATGTATAACACTAGAAGTTAGCAGAGTCTAAAACTAGGTTCAGATCATATCATAAACCAAATAGCAATAGTTAGAAATGCTGATGACAGGACTATTCAAATTCTTTTCCTAACTTCAAGACCTCTATTTCGTAAGTAAGAGAACATGTGTTCTTAATCTTTAGTGACACTCTCAAATGTTGTTCCTCATGCCATGTCTCACATTTCCTATCTCAGTAAGATAACTTTAGCGCGCGTTCCTAGCTTTAGTTGCCTTAAGGCTTGTCTTCCTTTCAGAACCTTGGTACTCATAAGCTGGCTTTTAGTCTGAGGTTTTCGGACAAGACTACTACTGAAAAGATGTGGCTCCACCATTGGTCCAAAATCACTTAAAACTTGATATGGGGAGGACAGTGTTTTCAGATACTTCTTTGATATTATCACAGGAGAAACCAAGTGAACCAGAGAACACTATTCATTAGACCATATATGCCTAAAGTCCTCAGTTTCAATCAAATGAAAAATGACAATAATTTTACAACTTTGTGAAATATACTATTAAAGCACCTTCTCACATGGTTAACTAATTCTAACTATTGAAAGAAGTAAAATAGGGAGCATATAAAGTAGAAACAAAAGAAAAAAGGAATGATATCCAATATCATAAAGGAATTCTTGCAATAAGAAGGAAAGAGCTTACACCACCTTAATCAAACTACAACACAATAACAACAACAACAACTCAGTAGAATCCCACAAGTGAGGGGTCTGGGGAGGGTAGTGAGTACGCAGACCTTACCCCTACCCTGATGGAGTAGAGAGGCTGTTTCCTATAGACCCTCGGACCACCTTAATCAAACTAAAAATAAAAAATCATATATTTGCACAACAACAACTACGCTCGATGAATTCAACCTAGTAAGGATCGGCTAAATGAATCCTCACATATTGTATATTTGTACCTAGCAAATATAACATGCAAAAATTGATCATTGTACCAATCACAAAGCTTAGACAATTAACCACAACAAGAAGCAAGTAATTTACAGGCCACCATAAAATAGCCAACCCCACAAAAAGTAATCAATTCAAAACATCAAATCAAGACTTTAAAAGATTCACTCACTTTACCAAACCTTCCTCCAAGATAGCTTGTTCTTCAGGAGTCCAATCCATTGAAACCTGATTTTGTTGAAAACTTGTAGGTGAAGAAGAATTATCTCTTCCCCCTATCGAATTATTCCCGCTACATGAATTTATCCCTTCTTTAATATTCATACCAGATGAACTTGCCATATTTCACATGCCAAAAAAATAAAGTTTAAAACAGAGAGCTCTGTATTCTTGGGTATAAAGCTATATTATATACACAAAAATGAGCCAAGAATGATTGTCTTGTTCTTTGGCCAAAGCTTGGAAACTTAGAAAAAATCAAAATAAAGGAGTAAAAGGAAAGGCCAGTAAGGAGAGTTCAAGGTTTTGAAGATGGAGTTGAGATTCTTTAACAGATGCATGGGCATCAATAATCAAGTTGAAGAGTTGGAAGAAAGGTAAAGATTGAGAGAAAAAGGAGGGAATCTATCAAGGATCACACGTAGTTATGACAAAAAGGTTGGTTGCTACAACTGAAAAGAAAAAACCAATACAACTGCCTGTAATGTAATTTTAAGTTTGTTTTTATGTGAATTTAAAATTGATGCAAGAAAAGGAAAGGGTTGTTATGGGAGGTACCTTTTTGTTTTTTAACATATGCTTATAAATAGATTTCTGTTAAAAATAATATGTACATATTTAAGAGGTCGATATTGCTTGAAGAAATGATAGAGAGAATATCAATCTGAGATAAGAATATAACTTAAGAGCCGTGGAAACAGCCTCCGAGTAAAGTGCATACGATAGATCCTTGTGGTCTGATCCTTCACCGGACGTTACGCATAGCGGAAACTTCTGGCTGCCCTTTTTTTTTAATATAACTTAAGAACTAAACGTAGTTGAACTTACGAGATAAATTGTGATAATATATCGACAATGCTTGTGTTAATTTTGTCTACGCGACTGCTAATAATGGTAATTTGAACCTACAAATTTCATGACCTTTTTCTTGATGAAGCATGTAAAAATTCTTTTTATAATGGATGATGGTGTAATTTGAACTAATAATTTTTCCATATTTTAGTATCATGTTGAATTATATGATTACTTTGTTTAAAAACTTTACACTATTAAAGAAAGAATATATCTAATTATTTATATACTGTGTTGCATAACATGCGTGGGGGTTGGCATTGTCAGTGTTGAGAAAAAAAGATTTTGCTAAAGGAAAGAAAGGAAGTGCGAGCTGACGCACTGACAGCTTCTCACTCACTTCCCTTTCTAAAAGGCAAAGCTCCTTCTTTTGCCTTTAACTTTGGGAATGAAAGCTTTAGACAAGAAAAGGAATTCTTGTTAAATATGTAAAACGAATTTCAGAGATGGTTGATGCTTGACTCGTTGATTACTAAATGAAGCAATAGGCTTGAGAATAAGTATTGTCTCTTCACTATAAAAAATAAGAAATTCTTTCATTCTGTTTCGCATTACATTAATATATTGCTTTTCTCTTTTTGGATTGTTATTTGAAAATAATTTATGCTTTCACAGAAAAAGAAGTTGTAATAGGGGGTCATACTTTTCTTCGGGGCGTACATGGACCGAGTTGGTTTGGTTTATATCAAAACCAAACCAAACCAATTATATCGATTTTAATTGATTCGGTTTTGTCGGATTTTTTGTTACATGAATATTATTTCAATCTTTGTTAAATTTTTGATAAGTAAATATATGTTTAGTAAAATTAAAAAAATTGACAAAAATATATAGTCTATTAACATATTCTTATGGGAGAATTTTCGTAGTAGCATATGATAATTAGTTGTTTTAGTTGTGTGACAATAATTTTTCGTTGATGTACACTTTCAAGGTTAACTGAATTTGATAATTAAACATAAAAATCATATGACACCTATATAATGATATATTCTATTTAATTTTAAAATTTTGAATTTCACTTCAAATTCAAAAAAGATATAAGAATTTAATAGATTTTGACATATGAATATGGAAGAACAAAGAGATTGATGCATTTCACTAACATTTGATAAGAAAGTGATTGTACAACACATTATTTAAAGTTATAAAATAGAGCACTTCATATTTAACTAAATATTACATCCTGTAATAGAATCACAAATATTTCTAGATATTTTTAAAAGAAGATTCTATGAAAAGTCTTAAAAGTATACAAAAATTATATATTTATATTTCGGTTTGGTTCATTTTTTTTTAACTTAATACTGTATGGGGTAAAATATGTTCATATTTTATGATCGCATAAGAAAGCGACACGTGGAACCGAAGACAGAAGATGGCCAAACTTGGAGGCATTGATCCCGCTTGTCATCGGAGAGGATGATACTCATAAAGACAAAATAAATTTCCGCTATCCGGTAGCATTCAATGAAGAATATTCTATAAAATTAAGTGCATGATCCATTACAGAGAATATGACATTCACTGTCCACTATTACACAAATTGGAAAATCGCCCTAAAAAGTATCCCCGGGCCCACGTCTCAGAATCGAGTAAAAGTCACAAAATATGAACACCCATTCACTCACGAGTCTAACCATACAAGAACTACTCGAATCCGACCTCAAATCGCCTTTCAAAACTCGAAATTTTAGTCTATGAAGTTTCTACCATTTCCCCCCAAATTTTCAACTCAAATCCCTAATTAGAAGATGAAAATAGCAATAGATTTATGAAATATAGCCCAATCCGAGATAGAATCACTTACCCCATTAATCTTCTAGAAGAAACCTCGAAAAATCGCCTCACACCGAGCTCTCAAAGTCCCAAAAATCGAAATGGGAATCAAACCCTCGAATTTCTCTTTTCTGCCCAGTTACTCTGCATCTGCGGACCTGCCATCGCACCTGCTTCACCGCACCTGCGGAATCCCCATCGCAGGTGCGGATTCCACTTAAAACTCAGTGTCCGCTTCTGCGATCAAAGGGTCGCACCTGCGGACGCTTGTCCGCTTTTGTGGCCATTCACCGTTCCTGCAAACACTCTAACGCATCTGCGGGCATCGCAGATGCGGAAATCACCTCGCACTTGCGACCCCTGGCAACTCCTCTTTGTGGCCATTCACCGTTCCTGCGAACACTCTAACGCATCTGTGGGCATCGCTAATGTGGAAATCACCTCGCACTTGCGACCCCTGGCAACTCCTCCTTTTTCCGCTTTTGCGTTTGACTCTCCGCACGTTCGATCCCGCACCTGCGATCTCCCCACCGCAGGTGCGAAAACACTAGAAACCAGAAACTTCAACCATTTGCATAGGTCCAATTTCAATCCGAAACACACCCGAGGCCCTGGGGACCTCAACCAAATATATCAACAAGTCCTAAAACATCATACGAACTTAGTCGAGCCCTCAAATCACATCAAACAATGCTAAAATCACGAATCACCCTCCAATTCAAACTTATAGAACTTGAAACTTAAAATTTCTACAACCGATGCCGAAACCTATCAAACCACGTCCTATTGACCTCAAATTTTGCACACAAGTCATATTCCACACTACGGACCTACTCCAACTTTCGGAATCCGAATCCGACCCCGATATCAAAAAGTCCACTACCGGTCAAAATCTCCAAAAATTTGACTTCCGCCATTTCAAGCCTAAATGAGCTACAGACCTCCAAAACACAATCCGGACCCGCCCCTAAGTCCAAAATCACCCAATGGAGCTGATGGAATTGACGAAACTCCATTCCGGAGTCGACTTCACACAGTTCCGACTATGGTCCAAATCCTAAGACTTAAGCCTCTATTTAGGGACTAAGTGTCCCAAAACACTCCAAAAACCAAAACGAGACCTCCTGGAAAGTCACATAAGTAGAAAAAGATACGGGGGAAGCAGTAAAAAGGTGATCGGGGCTAATACTCTCAAAAATAACGGCCAGGCCGTTACATCCACATCCTATTTGCAACAAGCAAAATAACTAAGTAGGTTTTACAAAAAAAATGCAAAAGCATAAACATGGGAACTCAAGAAATCCCGAGATACGCCCAAATGCGTGGCAAAATAATATGACATATAGGAATAATTGGAGCCTGGATCGAATAGAACCGATGCATCTCTTGATAGACCGAAACAATACTTGTAATGATAGAGTCGGAAGCAACTGCCTCTATACGAGCAGGAAGAGCATAGTATTTGGCCTGGCCTCCCCTTCTAGGGCGACCTCTACCTCCCCAACCTCCACCTCGAGCTGGCTGAGCAGGTGGAGCCTAGTTTGAGAGATTGGATATGTTTGAGCCGAGTTGAGTTTTGGCTTGTGTGGTCTCCCAGTCTTTTCTTATTATCGTATCAGGGAGCGTCAGTATGAAGACCCCCATCTGCTTGTCCTTAAGGACACGATTCAACACGCTGATGCTAAGGAGGTCACTATTGGGGATGATGGTGCATTGAAGATGCAGGGCAGGCTATGTGTCCCTAATATAGACAGATTGCGTGAGTTGATTCTTCAAGAGGCTCACAGCTCACGGTACTCCATTCATCCAGGTGTCACGACGATGTATCATGACTTAAGGCAGCATTATTGGTGGCGTAGAATGAAGAATGACATAGTGGAATATGTAGCCCGGTGTCTAAATTGCCAGCAGGTGAAGTATGAGCATCAACAACCGGGTGGGTTGCTTCAGAAGTTAGATATTCCGGAGTTGAAATGGGAGTAGATCACTATGGATTTCATTGTTGGACTTTCACGGACTCAGCAAAAGTTTGATGTGGTTTGAGTGATTGTAGATACGCTGACCAAGTCAGCTCATTTCATTCTTGTGATGACTACTTATTCTTCCGAGTAGCTAGCTCGAGTTTATATCCGCGAGATTGTCAGGCTTTATGGCATGCCGGTATCTATTATCTCTGACCGAGGTACGCAGTTTACATCACGGTTCTAGAGGGGCGTACAGTAGGAGTTAGGTACTCGGGTGGAGTTGAGCAGAGCATTTCACCCTCAGACGGACGGGCAGTCTGAGCGTATTATTCTGATTCTAAAGGATATGCTCCGTGCGTGTGTGGTGGAGTTTGGAGGTTCTTGGGATCAGTTCTTGCCACTTGCGGAGTTTGCCTATAACAATAGTTATGTAACGACCCAGCCGGTCGTTTTGAGAGTTAGAGTATCGATCCCCTATTAAATGCTTTCCTCGTATCTATATCTGCTATTGTGACTTGCCGGGAGGTTTCATTTTGGTTTTTAGAAGTGTTTGGGACACTTAGTCCCTAAACGGAGGCTTAAGTTTTAAAATTTGGATCGTAGTTGGAACTGTGTACTCCGGAATGGAGTTCTATGAATTCTGTTAGCTCCGTTGGGTGATTTTGGTCTTAGGGGCGTGTTCGGAATGTGTTTTGGAGGTCCGTAGCTTATTTAGGCTTGAAATGGCGAAAGTTAAATTTTTGGAGTTTTGGACCCATAGTGGAATTTTTGATAACGGGGTCGGAATCCGATTTTGGAAGTTGGAGCAGGCCCGTAGTGTTGAATATGACTTGTGTGCAAAATTTGGGGTCAATCAGACGTGTTTGGTTGGTTTCGAAATCGGTTGT